ACATTAGGTTGATTTTCTTCAATATGAAGATACATTTATTTTTTATGCTTTATGTAATATGTACTTATTAAATATATATATAGAATACCAAAAAAATTGATGAATATCACCTGAAATCTCATTTTCCTGAGAAACCATCATTAACATCAGTCACCTGAGAAAAGCAAGAGACATTGATGAACAAATTGTGAACATACTAGTAAATCAGTTAATATTGGGTGTAATTTAAATAATGACTGATATGGGAAAGGACTAGAAATAAGGTGAAATGAATATTGTAGATAATAACACTGGGCAAGTGGGTGGAATCAGGGTTAAAGTGTTACAAAGTCCTTGTTCTGGGAAAGGATAGAAATACTTTATACCTTGTTGAATATGCATGCTAAAAATTGAAGGCTAGCCACCAAAAGAAATAGACTACATTGTAAATCACTAGAGAGAAAAAAGGGAATAAAGAGATCTATAAATCCAATGGAAAACATTATTCTTAAAGAATAATAATGTGTTGCAGTTTTTTTCTTTGATATTTCAGAAACACTTTGTAACGTACATTACAAAAGGTAGATAATCAGGTGTTCTCCCCCAATCCTAAGTCAAAAAAAGCTAGTACCTTTTTGGAGAAAGGAAGAAAGAAGATAAATTGGTGATATTAAATTACTTCATGAACTAATATCTCCTGCAGAAAGTATTTAATTTTTTCAAGTCTAGAAATTAATTAGGGCTAGTAAGGCAATAAACAGGTTTAATCAGTATAAGAGTTACCCCTCTCTGTTGGACAGAAATGATTAATTTAGACTGATTTTTTGAGCAAGGTCTTTCACCACATAGTGGCACAACAAAATATCTTTAAGTCAGAATGACTGTTTTGCATCAAGATTCTCTGTCTTTTCATTGTATTTTAATCAAAAGGGAGAAGGAGATACTTTTTATTCCTCCTCCTTTTGTCTTTACCAAAGATAGCCCTACAAATTGACACTTTCCCAAAGTAGAGACTGTCAGATTGTTTTTAAAATCCAGATATAAGATGCATACAAGAAGACTGAAGCAAAATCATAGAGAAAACAAAATCCACTAAGCAAATAATAGAAAGATGATGTATCAGTATTAATTGGTATAATCAGGGCTTCGTGATATTTTTTCTGTTAAGGTCCAGGTATTAAATACTTTAGGCTTTGTGGGCAATACAGTTTCTCTTAAAACTACTCAACTCTGTTGCTGTAACAGTAAAGCAGCTACATTAATAGATAACATCAGTGAATGAGTGTGACTGTATGCTAATAAAACTTTACAAAAACAGGCAGCAAACCAGATTTGGCCCTCAGGATGTAGATTGCTGACCCCTGTTCTTATTGTGTAATGATTATACAGCAATGAGGAAAAAAGGCAAGATACCAGCACTCAACTCAAAAAACAATAATCAAACAAATATAATCTCAGGTATTGATATATAAAACATTTTTTAAAAACCTGTGAGGAGATTGAATGTAATAGGAAACTAAGATGGGGAGCCTCTGAAAGCCTTTAAACAGAGACCTGAATGAGTGTAGGGGAGTTGGAAAGGTCCTGGGTCCTGAGGCAGGAGGGAGTCTGGCTTGCTGAGAATCTGCAAGACATCCATTGTGGCTGAAGCAGAGAAGTAGACATGAGTTTTGTGCATTAAACATGTGCCAAATTATGTGAGATGTCATTCTCAATGTGTTGGAAAGGTTTTTGTAGATTTTGAGCAGAAGAATAGTACAGTGTGATTTGCTTTTGAAAAGTTCTCTCTGGCTCTGTGTGGGGAATAGATAGTAGGGATGGCAAGAGAGCAAATGGGGAGACCAGAGGCGATTGTCTCACAGCCCAGACAACAGATGATCTTTTGGACTAGAGTGGTGGTGGTGGAGGTGTTCTTCTGGGGGCTAGAATGTGTGTCTCTCTGTCAGCCAGAGCTACCTTAGAACCCATGAAGAGAACCCATTATCTGGCCTTGAGTCTAGCCCAAGGATACAACTCTTCTCAAGATACTGAAACTTGGGACCACCCTCACATGGTTTCAGTATCTTGAGAAGCGTCATGTCCTTGGGCTAGACTCAAGGACAGATAATGATGTTTAAGTTCATTTGTTCAATAAATATGAGAAGTGCCGGCGCTACCCGTGAAGAGAGCAGTGCCATTGTCAGAGTCACTGCTATGGTGTGAATGTGTCCCCCACAAAATTTACATGTTGAAAACTTAATGCCCAAAGTGATGGTATTAGGAGGTGGTGGGGCCTTTGGGAGGTAACGAGGTCATAAGAACAGAGCCCTCATAATTGGGATTAGTGTCCTTATAAAAGACCCCACAAAGTTTACTAGCCCTTCTTCCATATTAGGATACAAGAAGTCTGCCACCCTGAAGACGGCCCTTACCTGATCTTGCTGGTGTCCTGATCTTGGAGTTACAGCCTCTAGAACTGTGAGAAATAAGTTTTTGTTGTTTATAGGCTGCCCAGTCTATGGAATTTTATTATAGCAGCCCCAATGGGCTAAGACAGTCATTGAATGAAAAAGTGCTGCCCACCAGCATGGACCACCTACCCTGGACTGTGAAATGGGAAGAGAGAGACTATTTTGCCTAAACCAATGCATTCATTGTAAGGTCAATTTATTACAGCAGTTTAGTCTACTCTGACTAATACAGGGTTTGGCATAGAAGCAGGAGAATAATGAACAAATTATTTTTTGAAAGATCAGTTAGCAAGCTGTGTGGCTGATTGGTCAGAGAAATACTGCAGTAGGCCACATGAGGAATGATGAAGACCTGGACAAAGACTGTTGCTGTTGTCAGGCAACTGCATCTGGGGAGGTCTCTCCCTGTGCACTAGATGAAACCTCAACCTGGACAGGGAAGGATTCTTGATTCTGATGGAGAAATAATTCTCAACCAAGTTGGAGGAGTGGAGTTAAGGTAGAAATTTATTAAAGCAAGAGTAGAAGTGAGTGTCACAGGTGTGCAGGCAGTCCAGAGCAAGGAAGAACAGAGGGGAAAGGGAAGCTCATTGAACTCCTGCTTGGTGTAGGGCAACTCCCTTGCCAACTCCTAAAGCCAGGGTCACCTGGCATCCAGTGTCTGCTTGAATCTGTACGGCATGGGAACTAAGCCCCTACCACCCCAGGAGAGCCATGAAGCGTTGGATGGAGTGAGTTTATGTTCTGAGAACTTCCACTTCCCTACTGGTCTGAAATAAAACAGGGTATGGGATTAATGGGATTAATACATAAATGAAGTAATATGGAAATCAAATGTACAAATACACATGACTTGATTGTTTTTCCCACAACTTAATGTGTGATCAAAAACAGAATGATGAGAACCAAAGTAGTTCTCACGGCTTGGGGCCGCCCTCACATGGTTTCAGTATCTTGAGAAGCGTCGTGTCCTTGGGCTAGACTCAAGGCCAGATAATGATGTTTAAGTTCATTTGCTCAATAAATATGAGAAGTGCCTTTTCGGCATTACTCGTGCGCAGTGAAGCCTCGAGTCCCCTGGCTGGTCCTTTCAGATCTTCGATATTTCATCGTGCCTCCCCCCTTATCTGCGGGTCAGAAGCAGGGAGGGGCCAACACAGGGAGAGAAAAGGATTGTGTTAAGACTAGAAAGCTGAATGAAATAGCAAAATGACAAAGACATTATCCACCAGAGGTGGAATTTGGAGGTTTTTGTCTTTATCATGGAAAAAAGTTGAGAGACAAGTGCAACTGGCTAATGCAACAAATTTATTCGATATGGGACGGTACACACTCAGAAGGGAGTGCAGGCAACTTGAGAGGAGATGCACTTAAGAGTTTGGGGTTTTATAGGGCCTTTTGGGTAGGGGTCAGCATAAGAATGATGTTTATGGGTGATTCATAATTCCTTTGAAATTTTGTCTTAAGAATAGGGTTGGTTATTTAGATAACTGTTGATATGGATCTTGGCATTCTTTATCCACATAGACTCACTTACACTTTACAGGTCTATCTCTTGTCTTGGTTACAAAGTTATTTAATTGATTAAGGGGCTGGAAGAAGAGGAAGAACAGCATATAAGTTAAGTTTAAGAATGAGCTGGGCCTTTTTCCCAGACTAAATTGACTACAATGGCATGAACTTTGTTCTGTTTCCCTACTCAATCTCAGTATTGGGGAATAGAAAACATTACATTTAAAAAGATACTTAGGAGGGGGGGATGAACAGGTTTTTAAATCAACACGTGTGCTATGATTGAAAGGCAAATATATTGGTCAGAGTTTGGTGAATCAGACTACTTCAGTGATAGAAATGTAAATTGCTATTCCTTTTGGACCATAATTTGGTAATATGCATTAGAAGTCTTAAAACTTCATACCATTTGACTGAGCAATTCCATTTCTAAGAATCTGCCTGTAGGAAATAATTAGAAATTTAGTAAATGACTTATGCAAAGATGTTTATCATTGTATTATTTATACTTGCAAAGGCTAGTGCAATACTCAGTCAACCCCCAAATCTTAGTGACTTATATTAAAAATTTATTTCTCACCCGTAATACAAGTCCATGCTGGACAGGCTGGGGACTCAGCTCTGTGTTGTCTTGCTCTGGAACCACCTGAATGTGTTTATTACCTACTGCTGTATAACAACTTACAGATGACTCTTGAACAATGTGGAGTTGGGGTGCCAACTCACCACAGTCAAAAATCTACATTTAACTTTTGACTCCCCCAAAACTAATAGCCTATTGTTAACCAAAAGTTTTACTGGTAACATAAACAGTCAATTAACACAATTTTATGTTATATGTATTATATGCTATATTCTCACAATAATGTAAGCTAGAGAAAAGAAGATGGTTTTTCAAATTGTTGCAATTCTCCAAAACATTTTCCAATGTATTTATTGAAAAAATCTGCATACAATGGGCTGCACAATTCAAACCCATATTGTCCAACGATCAATTGTATCTAAAATTAGTGGCTTAAAACAACAAACACTTAACTATCTCACAAATTTTACTGGTAGGAATCTGGGCATGGCTTCACTGGATCCTCTGGCTCAGGGTGTCTTACACTACTATAATCAAGGTGCTGGCTGGGGCTACAGTCATCTCAAGCCTCAACAAAGGTAAGGCTTTCTTTCCAAGCTCACTTTAAGTGGTGGCAGGCCCCTCAAGATTCACTTCCAGACTTACTCATGTGGCAGTTTGTAGGCCTCAGGTCCTACCTGTGGGAGATGTCAATTCTTTGCCACACAGACCTCTTCATGTACTACATGGACATCTCACAACAAAGCAGCTGGCTGCTCTTTGAGTAAGAGAGCAAGGGAGGGTGGAGGGCGAGCATGATGGAAACCAGTCTTTTTGTAACTAATCTCAGACGTGATATCCCATCACTTTTGCCATATTCTGTTCATTAGAAGCAAGTCATTAGGTTCAGTCTACACTCAAGGAGAGGGGATTACAAGAGTGTTGAATACCAGAAGGGGATAATTGGCGGCCAGTTTAGAGGCTGCTTGCCACACTGAACATTACAATTTCTTGGGGAGAGGGAAAAGAAACGTGACAAATTGTGCATTGCCTGTGAAAAGATTCCTTTTGGAGGTGGCATACATGATTTCTCATTTTGCGTCCAAACAAGTTGCATTGTCATCAATAATTTACAAGGGATGAGAAACTGCAATTCTACCATGTACTGGGAAGAAGCGGGAACCTGTATTTGTAAATACTGCTGACTACCACAGCTACAGATTCAACAATGGGAGAATTGTTTTAAGATTTTTGATACATCCATGAGCAGAACATGCTGTTAACTCTAACAGATGTTAAGTGGGATTTGTCCTTTAGCCCAGGATGGAAACTAGGATTACAGGTGAGGTATCAGGTAATCCTTTGTAAAAAGAACCACAGATAATTGAGGGTCAACCTCTCCACTTCCAAGACTAATTAAAAGGTGACCAAACCGACTTTTCCATCCTTAACCGTCTTCCCAGACCTTCCCAACCAACCCATAATAGCTAGAAGATTGGTTGGAAGGGTGGGGATGGAAGTCAGCAGAATCATGAATCGGCCTTGGGGGATAATGCTCTGGCATTTCTATCCAACAATCGAAGAGGATTCTAAGATTCCCCCCACGGAGATTTGGGCTGCTTGCAAAAGGGGGTTGGAAGCCTGTATAGAAACAGCACAGCAGGTGCCCAGTGGACATCATATTAGGTATACTAACTGGGGATGGAGGACCGACCCAGAGGGTTGGAGGAAGTCACACTAGGTGGGGCTACCCGCAGAGACCTGCGTCGAAGGGAAGCCCCCTTCCCACCACAGCCCACAGACTGGCCCCTAGCGACCCTGCCTTAGAACACCTGCCTGCCCAGAGGAGCCTGTGCGGTGACATCCCTTAAAGGACCACCAGCCAATCGAGAGACAACAGTTTCCTTCCCCTCTTTTAGCCCCCCAACCCCTAGGAAGCCAGACCCCTAAGGGCGAAGCGGAGAATCCCCCGCCGGACCGCCCCACTCTGAGCTCTGCGGCCCCGCACGGGCTTCTTCATCGGAAGGAGGGAGGCCCTCCGCACCCCCATTGTAAGATCCGGGGAACTAAAAAAGTGATTTTTCTATCCCCCGACAAGGCTGAAAGGGGAACATCCATAGGCCACAGGGAAGTCGGGGACCCAGGCGGCCGCCGGGGTCTGACGCAACGCGCGGGGTCTTACGGCTGGTCTCGACATCCTGGGCCGGGCTGGTGAGGCTGGTGAGCCTGTGGCGCCCGCAGTTACTCACTGCGAGACGGGTTTGGAGGGCACCCTGGGTCAGCTGGAGGATGGAGATCAGAAAGCCAGAACGAGGGTGGCATTTTGAGGGACTTGAATCTCCAAGTCTGGGGTCTAGGGGCTAGGGTCCCAAAAAGAGTGTGGCACTTGCAGTTTGGCATTGGAGGGTCAAATCCTACCTACCAGGTTCACTAAAGCAGTCACTTCATCCACTTCTACTCACCTCAGAGGGAGCATTGTTGGACCACCGGAGTGGCTCCTGGATCCCTTAGCTCAAAGCCCTGCGCCCCGCTGCTCGCAGCTCTGAGCACCCCCAAGTCGGGGCTGGGATCCCTGGGTAGTGGCAGTGCGGGTCAGCCGCTCCTCACTCCTCAGAGCAGTGTGTGTGGGGTGCTTCCACTCTTTGGTGCCTCAGGTTTCTCCCTGAAGTGTTTGGGCGGCTGTTTTGCAGTCCCGGTACCCAGAGGTCCCTGGCTGGGAGGTGCTTAGCGTAACTTGGAGCCCAGCTGGGTTTCCTAGTGGCACTCTTGCCGTGAGTACAGAGATTGGGGGCCCAGGAAAAAGAAGCCAGGTGATGAAAAGATGTTCCTGCTCCAAAAGGAACAAGCCAGGCTCTTAAGAATGAAGGCAGCTGGAACCCATCTTGAGAGAGGACACACCTGTGACCCAAGAGCTGCAGAAATTAACGAGCCAAGACGAGGCTGCAGGAGGAAGGGCTTTGGAGCTTCTGGGGCTGCAGAGGTGGCTTAGCAGGGCTTGCATCAGATGAGGAAGAACAGGACCCTTCACAGAACAAGAAGAGACTGTGGAGCTTTGACTTGGAAAAGAGGGGACAGGACTTACCTGAGATGGTGAACAATCTGTCATTGGAGAAAAGAAGGCATCCTAGGCCAGGGTAGTTGAGGAAATAGTTCAGACAAGGCAGAAAAAGTTGTCCCAGCTGGCCACTCTGGGAGCTGCAAGGCAGGCTTGGTGTCTCATGGCTCTTTTCTCCTCCAGCTCTGCCTCCTTAACTCCCTAACCTGGCCTGGAAGGAAGAAGAGATGACCAATTCCCAGGTGAGATGCAATTTTCCATTCTCAGGTCAGATATGTCTACTCTTGAGGAAAAAGATGAGTTCCACTTTCTTCCTTAGGAAAGGAGAAGGAAACAAACATTTGTGGAGCACTGACTGCAGGCAGGATACACTTAGCATTGACTTTTCTATTTATTCTCACAATGGACATTATGCCCATTTTACAGATGCAGCAACTGACTCAGAGGTTGAGAGACTTGTCGAGTACACCAAGCTATAAAATGGTGGAGCCAGGATTCATCTGGTGTACGTGTTGTCAGTGGACAAATCTTCTCATCCAGGGACTCAGCCTAAATTGTCTACTTCTAGAGGGCTGGGCTAAACTCTAAATTAAGGACTCTGAAAGAATTTCTCCCTTGCCTTGTGCCCTCCTTTAGGTTTGGTCTCTTTTTTACCTAACATGTTAGTTATTCACGTATGCACTTAGTCATGAGTACTCCACTCTCATTTGTAAGTGCAAAACAAGTTGACTTGGACAGTCTTAATTCAAAGTGTATGTTTTGAGGGGATTAATATACATATATAAAATAGTGATTATACCTATGTATACATTAAGTAAAATGAAAAGCGGCCATACTTAAGTGTCAGTGTGAGGGATGCAGTCAGTGATACCAGTGCTAGAGGAGAGGACTTCCTGAAGGAGATGGGTTTTGTTTCTTAAAGAGAAAATTCGCATATATGAACTTCCATACTGCTTTCAAATCTTTACTTTTTTTGCTGTTGATAATTGCTTTATGGCCTAGTATATGATGAGTTTTTACAGTGTTTGATGTGCAGTTGAATAAAACATATGTTCTCTAATGGTAGGCACCAATTTCTGTAGGCATCCATACGATAGGATGTGTTCAAAATTTCTATATCTTTACTGACTTATTTTTGTTTGCTTGCCATCAATAATTTAGAAAAAAATCTATGGAATCTCTAGTAGTAGATATGCCTATTTTTCTCTGTAATACTTCCATTTTTTAAAAATGTAATTTGAGCATGTTTTATGAGGTATATAGAAGTTTAGAGTTGTTATATCTTCATGGGGAATTGAACTTTTTATTCTTATGTAGTGACTTTTCATATGACTAGTGATGCTTTTTGTTTAGAAATCTGTTACTAGTACCACTATTCCAGCTTTCTTTTGATGATTTGCCTGCTTTATATCTTTCCATACTTTTACCTTCAACCTTTTCATGGCTTTATGCTTTAGGTGTAGCTCTTGCTGACACTTTATATCTGAATTCTCCCCTCCTCTCTCAATCTGAAAATCTCTGCCTTTTTAATTGGCAAGTTTAGTCTATTTGTATTTGGCACAGTTATTGATATATTTGATATATATTATACTATCTTGATTTTTTAATTTTGCTATCATTAATGTATAATTACTTGAACATTATGTTTACTAGACTCCCCCTATTATCAAGTCCCCTCAAAATACCCCATTACAGTCACTGTCCATCAGCATAGTAAGATGCTATAGAATCATTACTTGCCTTCTCTGTATACACTGCCTTTCCCGTGTCTCCCCCCCACCGCTACATTATGTGTGCTAATCGTATGCCCCCTTTCCCCCCTTATCCCTCCCTTCCCACCCATCCTCCCCAGTCCCTTTCCCTTTGGTAACTGTTAGTCCATTCTTGGGTTCTGTGAGTCTGCTGCTGTTTTGTTCCTTCAGTTTTTTCTTTGTTCTTATATTCCACAGATGAGTGAAATCATTTGATACTTGTTTTTCTCCACCTGGCTTATTTCATTGAGCATAATATCCTCTAGCTCCATCCATGTTGTTGCAAATGATAGGATTTGTTTTCTTCTTATGGCTGAATAATATTCCATTGTGTATATGTACCACATTGTCTTTATCCATACATCTACTGATGGACACTTAGGTTGTTTCCATTTCTTGGCTATTGAAATAGTGCTGCAATAAACATAGGGGTGCATATGTCTTTTTCAAACTGGACTGCTGCATTCTTAGGGTAAATTCCTAGAAGTGGAATTTCTGGGTCAAATGGTATTTCTATTTTTAGTTTTTTGAGGAACCTCTATACTGCTTTCCACAATGGTTGAACTAGTTTACATTCCCACCAGCAGTGTAGGAGGGTTCCCCTTTCTCCACATCCTCACCAGCATTTGTTGTTGTTTGTCTTTTGGATGTTGGCCATCCTAACTGGTGTGAGGTGATATCTCATTGTGGTTTTAATTTGCATTTCTCTGATGATTAGTGATGTGGAGCATATTTTCATGTGCCTGTTGGCCATCTGAGTTTCTTCTTTGGAGAAATGTCTGTTCAGCTCCTCTGCCCATTTTTTAATCAGGTTATTTGCTTTTTGGGTGTTAAAGTGTATGAGCTCTGTATATATTTTGGATGTTAACCCCTTAGCTTGATCATTTTCTAATTGTTCAAATAACTCATGCATAGCTGTTTTGGTTCAGTATCTGTAGTTGTTAGTAGTCTAAATCTCTTTTCTGCTGACTCTCACCTTTGGTGAGAGTCACTGATTGATTTTAATATGTATGAGTCTTACAGGAAACTTTTCCCCAGAGAGAATTTGCTTCTGTATCTGCCAGTGTCTTAGAGGACACTATTAACATGGGATGATTCCAGAGGTCCTGGGTCAGGCTACACTCGTCAACCTGCAGTGGGCACAAGGTTCAATATCCCAAAGAAATGCCACTGTTGGCATCTCTCTGTGGGGCAAACCTATCACTTCCACTACCTGCCACTGTGCTTTCAGTTCACTAAGTTGTTTTATCTTTTTCAGTTGTGGGGAAATGAATAGTACTTCTTTGAATCTAGTTAGGTGAAATTCCTTGTTTTTGTAAAATAATGCTACTGATCTGTCAAAACTTATAAATATTCTTACCATCTGGTTTAGTAGTTTTCAACTTCACTAGTAATCCACGAAATGTTAATTATAATATAATGAAATGGCACTTTTGAAACCTGTCAAATTGGCAGAGGTGTGTTTTAAAAAAATATTTACTGGTAAAAGACTCAAATACTTTTAAATTAAATGTCATTTTGCCACCAACTTTTTGAAGAGATTTTGGAAATGTGTGTCAAAAGACTTTAAAATGCCTGTGCCTTTGAGCTAACTATTCTACTTCTATGAATTTGCCCTAAGAAAAAGAGCCAATAAGTGCATAAAATTATAATTCAGGGAAGGAACTTGCAGTGTCATTATAGTTATGAAAACTGGGAAGCAGCCTAAGTATACAATAGAGGGAGACTTAAATAAATTATGATGTAACCATGAGATGATAAATCATGATGTAATGACTATGCAGCCATTAACAAGTTGTAGAAGTATATTTAATAAGGTAAAATATTCCTGATATTTAATTGAAAACCATTTAAAAAAAAGACAAATTGTAAGGAATATCCCCAATTAAAAATTTTTCCACATATGTGCCAAAGTGTAAATACACATAATGTAGTTATTTGGGAGCTATGATTATGTATTGTGTTTTTTTTGTACTTTTATCTTCATTATTTTCTATAATAGCACTTTTGTTATAAAAAATAGCAAATGAAATATTGTTCTCTTTATGGAGGCAAGGGGGGAAGGAATTATTTGAAATGTTTGTTGTATTATCACGTTTTCTTTTCATAGATGATTGGTAATACTATATGAGTACAAACCATAGGAAAAAAGTGGTAGTTCAAGTGTCTAGCCTAGAAATACAAGCCAGCACTGTCTAACTAGTGCAACGGATTAAAGACTCAAACTTGCTAGTGCATTTTTTTATTGTATATAAAGAATATGCAGCATTTAGAAAAAAGTCCTCAGCCAAGTAAATGCTAGTGCAACTGTACTGCACAGACATTCTAGAAGCAAGGAATATGAAGAAAAACCAGAGACTGTACCTCCTTTACATAAGATCAATTTGAGTCATAGGCTTAAAGGTTTCATGTATATCAGCAGCTAATTTATGTGTGCTCACACTACTCACTGTGTGTAGGATCATTACAGGTATGAGACATTTCAACACTGCAAGAGGTTTTTCCGCATAGTCTGTAGTGCTAGAGCCTTATATACACTTGATGTTGCTGATTCTTTAATAGCTGAAAGAAAACCTAGGATTGGGGATTAAAAACTTGGTTAATGACATGTTTCTATTTTTTGAGAAATAAATTTCAGAAAATAACAAAATGTATGTGATGTGAAATTTCATTATTGACTAAGAACAAATCCAATTTTATGTATGTACCTGAGAAAATTGGTAAAGCAAACTCCTTAACAAATATTGTCAATCTCCCAATATTTAAGACCAAGACCAATGTTGAAATGGTCCATTTCTTGGTAATTTGTGAGGCAGCATATCTTTTCACATGTTTATTTGGGCATTTACTTATCTTCTAGGAATTACTCATTCTCATCACTTTTCATTTGTCCATTTTTAAACTGGAGCATTTTCTTTTTTTAACTGGAGCTCTTCATATTATTAGGATTAATGAGTCTCCGCATGAGATGTATGTATCTTTTAAATCTTTTTAATTGTTTTTCTTTGAATTATTATGGTCTGGAGCAGAACTCTGAAGTCCCTTTTATTCTGTTTTACTTTGTCATAGTTGCCAAGTTCACCCTGTGCACCAATAACACTGGTTTAGATGCTTGCTCGGTGAAGAGGAATTACTGTTCATCCGTGTTTTAGGAACCTGTTACATTTGAGGATGTAGCCATGGACTTCACCGAGGAAGAGTGGGGACAACACAACCCTGCACAAAAAGCCCTGTATAAAAGGTGATGCTGGAGATCTATGGCAACCTGATCTTAGTGGGTGAGGAAAACTACTCTTTGGAGAATTTTTGTTCCCTTGTCTGTGAAAAGCTGTGGCCTCTTAGTGTTCAACTAAGGGAGGGCTTGAGTCAGATATCAGAATGTCCAAATCACTATTTTTTTTATTAAGGTATTATTGATATACACTTATGAAGGTTTCACATGGAAGACAATGGGGTTACTACATTCACCCATGTTATCAAGTGTCCCCCATACCCCATTGCAGTCACTGTCCATCAGTGTAGTAAGATGCCAGAGTCATTACTTGTCTTCTCTGTGCCACTCTTGTCTTCCTCAGGATCCCCCCACACCATGTGTACTAATCATAATACCCCTCAATCCCTTTCTCCCTCCCTCCCCACCCACCCTCCCCACCCCTCCCCCTTGGTAACCACTAGTCCCTTCTTGGAGTCTGTGAGTCTCTTCCTGTTTTGTTCCCCCAGTATGTCCGAATCACTACTGAAGAAAGGAAAATGTTGCTCTCTAAGTAAAAAACTTGAGTTTCTCCTCCCCATTTATATTTCCTTTTTCCTTTTCTTTTGTTTTTGAGGTGAAATTCACATAATATAAATTGATCATTTTGAAGTCTACTATTCAGTGGCACTTAGTACATAACAATGTTGTGTAACTATCTCCTTTATCAAGTTCTAAAACATTTTCATTACCCCCAAAGAAAACCCACACCCATTAAGCAGTCCCCCCCATTTTCTGCTCCCTGTAATTACTTTTTAGAAAAATATTAAAAACAAGTATGTAAGAATTGAGTCGTCGCCCATTATGACCAAAAGGCTAGAATGTTAGACTAAAGAAAGGAAAAACAAGGACATGCAAACAGAACAGAGAGATGCCATAGGGGGAGAACAGACGAGACCCCAAAGTCCATGCCATATATGGAAAGGGGACAGCTCTCCCTGAATTCCATCCTGATGTGCCAACTAAGACCCGGATGTCAGCCTCCTCCCTCTTGGAAGGGAAAAAAAGTTTCTAGTTGTCTATTATGTCACCTTTAGCTAATCATACCTCTCCACACCCCCTAAGATAGCTTGCCCACTCCTCCCCCTCCTAATCTCTTATAAGCCCCCCACCTCCCTAACCGGGTGTGACTTCTCTGGCCTGTGGCAAGAAGGCCACAGAACCTCACCCAGGGGTATTTAAATAAATTACCTGGCCCTTTGTTGCCTCTCTTTGCCTGCTTATTTCTGCTAGAATTTATCTTACAAAGTATATTTGTAATGAGGTAAAAAGTATCTTTCAGACTACTTTCTATTTATATTTGTATATAAGCAGGCAGGAAGTGTATAAGCTCACACATATTATTTATCTTGTATTTATTTGTTACAAAAATGAGTTTTCAGTTAATATATGCTAGATATCTTGACATGTCAAAATATTTAGACCCATTTCAGTCTTTTTAATGGCTGTTACATTCCATTATATGGTATATTGATGTAGAGAAATTTTTTAACCAGTGCTTTGTTGATGGATATTTAAGATACCAATTTTTCTCTATTATAAATAATACTGAAATAAATGTCCTTATACTTGCATTTTTGGATACTTGTTCCAGTATTTCTAAAGACTATCTAGAAGAGGAATTGCTGGATCAAAGATTATATATTTTATTTACTTTGCGGTTGAATTGCCCCTGAGAAATTTGGATTAAATTATAGTCTTATAATGAGAATTCCTATTCTTCACACTCTCAGTGGCTCCCAATCTTTTTATTCTTTACCTCTCTGAAAAGTAGGAGTTGCCATCTCCCCCACTTCCCTTCCAGACCTGCTTTATCTCTAGTCTTCTCTTCCTCACAGTGAAATGGAAACTCCACTCTTCAAATTTTTAGGCTGAAAACCTTGGAGTCATCCCTGACTCCTTTCTTTCTCACCCCCAAATCAATCCATCAGCAAATTTGAGAGCTCTACTTTCTAGTTATATCCAGAATCCACTCACTCCTCATACCTTCACTGTTGTTGCTCCAGTCTAATCAGCAATCCCCTTTCTCACTGAATAGCCTCCTTCCTGGCTTTCCTGCCTCCCCTCATCTCAGCCTATTTTCCATATGGCAATCACTCTGCTCCTTTAAAACACCAAGTCAAATCAAAACCTTCCCATATCAATGTTCTTCAGTTGCTGAATGGCTAAACAAATGGCGGTATATCCATGTTATGAAATACTACTCAGCAGTAAAAAGGAACAAAAAATTGATTCACACAACTTGGATAGATCTGAAGGAATTGTGCTAAGTGAAAAAAAGTCGGTCTCTAAAGGTTACAGACAGTATGATTTTTTATAACATCCTTGAAATGACAAAAATTAGAGATATAGAACAGATTAGTGGTTGCCAGGGATTAGGGATGAGGGGAAGAGGGGAGGGGGATGAGTCTGGTTATAAAGTACCGCACAAATAATCCTTGTGATAAAACAGATCTGTATCTTGACTGGGGTAGTTGCGCTTCTACACATATAATAAAATTGCTTACCACCAAGTACACATACATTTACAAATGAGTATATATAGAATGGGTAAAATTTGAATGTGGTCTGAACTGGTGACCTTACCATCTTAAATGTAAACAAAAATTATAAAAATCAGATTTGAAATAGTATCTTTTCTGTAGACATCTTGGAAAATACAGATGATTAATGAAATTCCATTCCCCATTTTATTTTATTTTTTATTTTGGTATCATTAATCTATAATTACATGAAGAACTTTATGTTTACTAGGCTCCCTCCTTCACCAAGTCCCCCCCACAATCCCCCATTACAGTCACTGTCCATCAACATAGTAAGATGCTGCAGAATCCCTACTCGTCTTCTCTGTTGTACAGCCCTCCCTGTGCCCCCACCACCACCACTACACATGCTAATTGTAATCCCCCTTCTTTTTCCCTGCCCTTATCCCTCCCTTCCCACCCATCCTCCTCAGTCCCTTTCCCTTTGTTAACTGTTAGTCCATTCTTGGGTTCTGTGATTGTGCTGTTTTGTTCCTTCAATTTTTTTTTGTTCTTATATTCCACAGATGAGTGAAATCATTTGGTACTTGTCTCTCTCTGCCTGGCTTATTTCACTGAGCATACTACCCTCTAGCTCCATCCATGTTGTTGCAAATGGTAGGATTTGTCCCATTTTATTTTTAAATATATTCCATTAAAAGTGGAATATTCAGTGCTAATAAGAAATGAGCTATCAAGTCTGAGAAAACATGGAGGAACCTTAAATGCATATTATGAAGTGAAAGAATCCAACTGAAAAGGGTATATATTATATGATTCCAACTAAATGACATTCTGGAGACAGTTAAAAGACCTGTGGTTGTCAGGGATTAGAGGGGAGGGAGGGATGAGTAGAACACAGACCAGTTTTAGGACAGTGCATCTATTTTCTATAATACTATCATGAGTCTTGGGATGGTGAAACTATTTTGTATGATACTATAATGGTGGGTGCATGCCATTATACATTTGTCAAAATGCAAACAATGTACAACACCAAGAATTAACCCAAATGTAAACTATGGGCTTTGGGCAATAGTGTGTCAATGTATGTTCATCTATTATAAATAAATGTATTACTCTGTTACCACGTGTTGATAGTGGGGAAGGTTTGTTGACAGGAGGAAATGAGTAGGAGGTATAAGGGAACTCTCTGTAGTTTCTGCTCAATTTTTCTGTGAGCCTAAAATTGCTCTGTAAAATAAAGTTTATTAAAAACAAAACTCTGAGCTAAAACAAGAAATCACAGTAAAGGGGTGGGGTTTTAAAAAAGCTTACAAACCAAAGAAAACATCTTGTAAGATTTCATGTGTACCCTTCCATTATCATGTCTATACATAATATATATACATATGTAAATATGTATTTATGCAAAATGGAATCATGCAGTTCATACTCTTGTAATCTGCACTTTACACTTAAAAAGATAGACAGATGGGCACAATATATTATCTTTTCTGACTCCCAGTCTCTTTTGGAAGCCTTTAGCCTGAAAAGATAACAGAAGTACATGTATACAGAATTTCATGTACATTACAGGAGGTTTATCAACTTGCTGACGTCCATTCATGAACCCCTATTTTAATAGATGCATAGTATTCTGTTGTATGAAATACCTTGATTTATCCAAACAGTTTTTAATGGAATCAAATATTTAATATGGCACTGTTCTAGGCACTGGGGATACTGCAGTGAACAAAACAAAATCCCACTCATGTGGCCGTTACACCGGAGGGAGAAAGAGACAAAACAGGAACATAAATATATATGTGTCAGATGATGAGCTCTGTGAGGCAGGGTAAGGTTGGGGGTAACGGTAGGGTGGGGTGTGATCAGAAAAGGCCTCTCTGATATGGTGACATTTGGTCAGGGATCTGCAGGAAGTAAGGAAGCAAGTTCAAGAATATCTGGGGGATGAACATGCCAAGGACAACCCACTATTGTGTCTTAGTCCATTTAGGTTGCTGTAACATAATACCATAGACTGGGTAGCTTGTAAATAACAGAAACTTAATTCTCACAATATTGATGGCTGGAAGTCCCAGATCAGGATGCCAGCATGGTCAGTGAGGTCTGTCTTCTGGGTGGCAGACTTTTCCTTCAAGGGTGGAAGGGGCTAGTGAACTCTGGGGGGGTTCTTTTATAAAGGCACTAATCCCAGTCGTGAAGGCTCTGTCGTTCTGATCTCACCACCTCCCAATAGCATCACTGTGGGTGCGAGGTTTTCAACAGGAATTTTGGGGGGACACAAACATTCAGACCATATCATGTTGGATGTATGTCTTCTTTCCACTTATTGTGCTGTTAAACAGTGCTTCAATCTACATTATTGTACATTCATCTGGTTATTTCCTGAATACTTTCTAGAAAAATTGTAATGTCAAAGTTTATATACCTTTTAACAATATATACATACACATACACACATACAGGAAATATCTGTATGCCAGCCATTGTTTTCTAAGTGCTTCATTGGAGTTAATTGAATTAATCTTCACATCAAGAA